TGTGAACTTAGTGAAACTCATAGAAAGGTATTTTTGTTTAAGCACATTAAAACATTTTTAAATAATTATCTTTAGTATAACATAATATAAATACATATGTTTAGAAATTACTCTGGGCAGTAGCAGAGGCTTTACGAGATAAAGGAATAGGTATGACTCATCCACAATTTAAACAATATGCTACGAATTTAGCGCGAACTATTAAAAAACTTATGCCTGATCTCGAAAATAAAAATATTCCTCGCAAACCAGGAAGTACAAGTGATCGTATGTTGAAATTAGCAAAATATCATGTTTTGTTTGTAATTGATGCAAGACCAACTGATTGACAATACTCATTAATATAGTATATGAAAAAATTTTTACATAACTTTGCACAAAATATATTATTTATCACAGAAATATCAATGATTATACATTGGTATTTATATGTAGAGATAATATATATATAATCAGTGATTTTTATTTATCTGAATATAGTGAGATATTGTATTAAAATGTATTATAACAAATCACATAAAACATTAATGTGTGACGTGTGAATGTTAGAATTGTTTATGGAATATCAAGATATTTTTTACTGCATAAACATAAACTAAAAGGTTGTTTTTAATATACCTATTTTTTATTAGCGATAAAATAGTATATATATATATATATTTCACAACTTATAAATAATTAATAAAAGGTGCTTCTCTGAAACAAAACATAATTTGCAATTAATAAATTTTAAAAACAACACATGTGTACATATACATCAATCATAATTAGTATTGATTGTATCTAAAACGTTTAAGGGACGAGTAAAAAAATAAAGACTAATCGCATTTGCGATGCTTGTTTAATCTTCGATTTTTTATTCCGCATTTTGATGACCCACCCTGGCAATCACTTCATCCAATATTTGTGTTAATTCTTTATTTTCTTTAGTTTTTTGTTCAACTAATTCAGCCAATGAATTACTTTTTAATTCTGCTTTCCTTAGCATTGCATGAAGTTTTACTGTTTCATCTTCATGTTGTTTTCGTATAGCATCTAATTCAAAATTAGCTCTGAAATAATTTGAAGATATTTATTAGAAAATTAAAGTATTTTAATTTTCTTTTTCTTTTTTGATACTTACTTTTCGAGTTCGGTCATAGCATGATTCTTCAATTGATCGTATCGCGTTTCCAAACATTTTATCGTTTCCATATTTTCCTGAATACTTTCTTTTAATAATGTTTCATTGCTTTTACATGTAGATACAACTCCTTTAAGCCTCTCGTATTTTTGATGAACATCATTAAAAGCGGCCTCTGTATTATTTAAATGAACATTTGCAACTTGTAATTCCTCTTGAAGTTTTGCCTTTTCTTGTTCAAAATTCGTACGATCCCTTTCTTTTTCCGTGAGCAGTCGACTAATCGATTTTTCATATTCCTCGACTACAACCCTAAACATATTATTCCAAAATTAATATATTTAATTATATATTATTATATTATTTTAATTTTATTATAATATATTTTATAAATTTTAAATAGACAACATATAACTTACGTCATTTGAGATTTACTTTTTATTTCTTGTGCTATTTGTGCTTGTAATTTGTTAATTTTTTCTTGAAAAGAAAAATTCTCATTCTTTTGCTTCTCTAACTCAGTTTCATATTCTTTCTTTTGTTTTTCTAATTCTTTTTCTAGTTGCAATACAGTTGTCCGTACTAATTCTAATTCCTTACTCATATTAACATCGATAATAAGTGAAGTGTCGGATTTCGATTCTTCTACAGATTCTTCCTATGTAATAAAAAATATATATGTATATTTATCTAGTAATGCAAATATATGAAATACATACTTTAATTGCTATTTTCTCTTGAATTTCATTTGTTTTCTGCGTCATTTTTGTAGAAACAGGACTATAAAAAAGTAATCTATCGATAGCTGCTATAGCAGGATTACGTTTAGAAATATCAATATTTTCTGATATATTTTCACTTTTGCCGTTTTGTTCCTCGTTTATAGATTGTGTATTGCCTTGAGGTAACATACTGGTATCAGCCACCAATGGATCAAATTTTACATACAAAGAATCAGTCCTAAAGCGATTAATAGTTTTCTTGTTGTCGTAATTTGTCAAAAAATCGAAGCTCATAGGATCTTGGAAAACTACGAGAATATTCATTATTAATAAATATATATTCATCGATATTTAAAAATTTTCATATTAAAAAACACTTACTTTCAGATGTTGCACTAATGAAGGGATTGTTATCTTCTGAACACTCTAATGAAGATTGAAAAATATCATTGGCGACTTGTTCAGCAGCAGATTTCAATTCTTCGAAATTTGGCTGCTCAATGTTAAACGTATCTAATGACGTGCTCTGTCGTTGCGGTTTAAAATCCGTATATTGTTCTATTTCCGATACAGTCTCTAAAGTCAAAGAAACATCCTGTAGAGTAATAGTAGTATCTAATTTTTCTTCGGAAGACCGATGTTCTTCTATTTCCTGATTTTCTTCTTCTTTTATAGAAAAATTGATTACATTTGTCTGATCCGAATCATTCACATTTTTCTTGTCAAGAAAATCATCTGAGATAGTAGTTCCTTCCTCTTTCTTTTGAAAAGCAATATCATTTATCTTGAAGCTATCTTCTTTTAGCGAAGAAAGATTGACGTTTTTAATAATATCGTTATTCTCAACTTCTTGATAAATATCTTTAGTTAAATTTTCCTGAACTTCAGGCGTTTTGGATTCAACAAAAGAAATATTATCTAAACAAATTTGCTCATCGCTTACAACATTATTAGGAAAATTCGGTGAATCTGATTCTGTGAGATTATTATTTTTATTTTCTAATTTTTGAATGGAATTTGTCACTTCAGTGTGCGAAGATATATTTATTGTTACATTAGAATTATTTGTCAATGAATTTTTTACATTATCTTCGATTTCTTGAGTATCGTTTACATTCAATTTCGAGGTCTCTGTATTAGTCAATAAGGAAGAAAACGTCGGTATACTAGGTAATGACGGTTCTTCACCATATTCCGCGAACACAGAAGTTGAATTACATACAGAATTTACAATGTTATAAGGTACAAAATCCACAGGCAAAGAATGATCTTCGTTTGAGTTATTGTTTAATATATTAGATCCTTCTTCTTTGGAAACATCTGTGATTTCTTTACTAGGTGATAAACATACAAACGTCGAATTTAAATTAGATTCTTCTGTATTATGACATTGTGATAATGAAGCCTCATCATCGCCATTAAAACTGTTATTGGCTTGATGATTACTTAAATTATTACTGTTTTTAGGAGATTTTTCTATATCTATTTGTATAAAACTATTTCTCCTATTTGATACAATTGCTACAGGAAGAGGTTCTTTGATACAAACTGTACCTAAAAGAGATCGTTCCTGGATATTCTGTGTAGTATTAATTGGTGAGTTTACAAATTCATGAGTCTCTAAATTATTTTCGACGATTTCAACTGTTTTTTGAAAATCATCTGTCAACGAGATTTCCGTTGCAAGATTTTTAGTTTCATTAGCTGTTAACTCGTCAGTGGCAGATGCGAATGTTTGATCCTGACTGAAGTCTTGAGAATTTTCAAGTGTACTAAATGAATGTTCGTCCTCACTGTTCAAATGTATTGTCGCACAACCGGTAATTAAATCGTCCAAGCCAGATATATTTGAATTCACATAAGAATTATTCTGAGGACTCGAAGGTACAGAGTCTGGACAGATACCGCTGCTACTCTTTGTGCTTAAAGTACTATTGAGACTCTGAAAACTGCTAGATGAAGATAGACTTTCTGGATTCGTGTAGGTGATCGATCCAACATCAGCGAACTCTCGAGCGAATCGAACCTTCACCTCATGCTCCGCACTCTTCGACACGGAATTGTCGGTACCACTCTAAAAAAAGAAAAAATGCATTATTAAAATAAATATTACATGTTACATTCATTTTATAATTCATCTTTTTTTTCGATTACCACTATTTTTAAAAAGATTATAGATATCACTTTTAACGAAAAATAAATCATTAATTGCTAATCATTAATTGCTAATTGATAAATGGCTTTTTATATTACTAAAAATTTGCAAAAATTACTAAATAGTTTTGTAAAAGATTCAAAGATACAAACGAATCACGATAATGATAATACGATCTTTCTAAATCAATTCTAAAGTCTTTCAATCTTCAAGCATCATATTTGCATTAATTAACGCGAAATTTTCCATTAAAGCTTACGCTTGAACGCGCTTAAAGAAATTACATCTACCCTTGCCAATTCACAAACGCGACGAGATGCATGTTAATCAAGCTTTTCACTAGTTAGACGCAAAATACCGGTGGCGTGGGCGATGGCAATGGCGATGGCGATGGCGATGGCGATGGCGATATCGATGTCCTTGCTGGGATCGCAACAGCTCGATGAAGCAGCTTATTGATATATTCCATATTTTTACGAAACAAATGTAGAATACAGATACGTGTTCAACAAACAATCCTTTCGTTCACTGGGAAAATTTGCATCAGCTGATTTTGGTGTCGAGGCTTGCTGATTTCTTTCAGAAATTGCGCAACTTCTTCGTTGCTCAGACTAATTATAAAATATAACGCGGGCTACGTCACGAAGAGAAGGAGATCAGATTTTGTTTTACCAGATCTTGTGCCAGTCTCGCATGCGAATCCATGCCAAGAACAGTTATGAGTGGACGTGTCCCGCGACAAAAAAAAACCTCTGATCGTATCGATGATGGCGCGATCGTGTTTCGCGGTGAAAAGTTGAATTGTTGAATCATCGATAAAATGTTCATTTCAATTTTGGTTTAAATTTAATTCCAAGAGTGAAGATTTTTTGCATGAAATTTTTTACGATTCAGACAAATATACAGTCTTGGATTAAAAATTTTCGAGCTTCTCATAAAAGAAGATAAAAGTAATTCTATACTCTATACTTTAAGAAGAAAACCAGTGAAATAAATCTAGATATTTGTATCTACTGATTTTTGTATATAGTTAGCCACGAATAAAATAGGAAGTTAAACGAAGAATAGAGATGACAATTGACTGACGTATTTGATTTGTTTAAATCAAATTTAAAATTGCGGTAAAATTTTTTTACAAAATTTGATAAAGTAAGTAAATTTATTATTTTAAACTTAATGGAATAGAATTTTTGGTAATTTTGTAATTAGAAATAGATATTTCACGAAGATTACCTTAAAGATGAAATTCCCCATGACTTCCCAAATAACCTCCACTTTCGGCTGTCACTGCTGGCCGATATGAGGCCATATTTACACGCGGGTTCACAGAACCCCACGTAGTGAACTTTCTTTCTTTCTCCCCGCCTATATATCCTCACCCCTGACACGTTTATTTCCGACGATACGACGCATCTTTCGTTTATCATTCACCCTTTTCGCGGTCCCGTGTATTTTTTCTTCGGCCTTCTCTCGGACGATTTCCTTTCCGTCCGATTCTTCTTTCACCAAGAGAAAAAAGAAAACTCTCGATAGTACGGATTATTTTCACCTTTTATAGTTTCGAACATTTGATCAGAAAGCGAATGAGATTATTCGGTTAAAAAATTTCTATCAGATATTTTCTTGAATTTATTAAACGTTATTTACCGATTTCGAAGAATTTGCTAATTCAATGATATTTTTCTAAGATATAACCAACATTTGTTTCAATTATTCGATATAAAAAGATTTCACTCTCTCTAGTCTACTTGTTTTTTACATATAATAAAATTGAGTCGCCCAAATTATTCTGAAAAATTTTCACTATGTGATTTCACTCGAAACGAGAGAAAACGAAGATAAAGTATAAATTTACTTTATTATGTCATAATCATGTTTAATTATAATTTCTGCGTTTGATTAAAAAACCAAGTTATCGCATAAATGTTTACTTTTGATTTGATTAAATATTTGAAAACAAATATGATGGACAGATTATGATGGATCAACTTTTCATGGAAAACAAATGCATTTAGAAAGTAGAATATATAAACTGTGCACTAATCCAACACACTAACTATTATGCATTTATTGCTTAAATTATACACTTTTTTTTACGGAATAAGTCATTAATTATATGAATATTAATGGTGCTTTTTTTAAATCTCCCATATTACTTTCATTGTAATTATATCATTGTTTACACTGTGTATGAATTATGTTTTTTTCAATGCATTGTTATTTAATTGTGTATACTATAACAAATAATATATAATAACAATCATAATATATAATAACGATCATAAATACTTGAGATAATTAATTGAACAGAATATATTTGATTGTGTGTAATCATATATATTATTATTTATCACATTATATATTTTTATATTATATTATATTATATTTTAATTATATTTCTTATATTTTTACATAAAATGAAAAATATTTACGAAAGGTAATATAATTAATATAACATACATATAACACATATGTGAAAATAATAATTGTGATATTTTTTTTTCATATTTAAAAAAGAAATAATATTTTCAGTAAAATAGTTTTGTTTATAGATTAATTATACAAAAAAGAATAATATAAATCTTGTTTAAAATTAGAATACGATATTTTTATAAAACAATGTGTAACATTGAAGGTTAACATTATATAACAATACGCAATATAACAATTAACTTTTAATATCTTCAATTAAAGATTATTGGGAAATAGATTAACGAAATCAATTACTTGATACAGAAAAATAAAATACATGCTAATAATTGAATTTGTATTAATATATATGTAGAACTTTGAAAATTATGTTACTTTCTCGAGAAGTTTTGAAAACATTGAGAATATTTTAAAACTTTTGCTTATTTGAAACACGTCCTTATTCTTAATTCTTTTCATTATAGACTCGCGGGAAATCGATTTAAAAAATATAGAAATATTGAAAAATGCTGACTGATTGATTGTGGAAATATACTAGACATCATCCAGATAAGCTGACAATGCATGACATTTTGAACGTCATACATTTTATCAATTGAAACAAAAACACATAATTTTCTAAAGAATGTATAAAATAATTCAATATAAATATCTCATATTCAAATAATATTATAAATACAATATGTTCAATATTCATTTTCTTCTCTTTAATAAGAATATAAAAAAATATAGTTTCATTTTTTAAGATTATTTTTGAAATAATGTGATTTAAAATTTGTATACTTGAATATATCAAAATCATTAATTATATATTTTCGATTTCTTAATCATGTTAAATAATAAGAATATTTCCATAAACCGTAGCAAGTTATTGATAATTATTATATCATGGTGTTCTTGCTTATTAAACTCATAGTATAAAGTGAATGTGTTCGCTTGAGCTCACCGTACACGAAGCGTTCAAGCGAGCAAACCAATATAATTTCCTTCGAAACTCGAGAAGCTCGTAGTCTCCTTATTCGGAGTATTCTTGACATTATCGAGACCGCAACACGTACTATCCCTATGACTCATTCCCATCTGGTTATGACAGAGAGAATCAGAGACATTTCTTTTTCAAGGGTGTGTCTCTTTCTCTTTCTTTTTCTCAACTTTGTTTTTCCATTCTATTTCTTTATCTTAAATATTGATTCCAATTGAATCCAAAGAAAAATAAAATGTTACTTCTCCACAAATCTTCACTTAATAGAAAATAGCGTTAAAAATAAGCAATGCGAAACTAGGTCTGAGACAATAGATCATCGTCTTCTGTTTATTCTTAATCTCTATAGGAAAAATTTATCAGAAGACACTCACCAAGCCTAATGATCAACGAAGGATATCTCTGGTTGAAATTCTAATATTAGCGCACTACATTCTCCAGTCGATACTCTAGATATCCACCACTACCACAGATTTCTTGCGATGGCACGCGACCATGTCTGTACGCGTGTGTAAATGTAAAAGCATCACGACGAAACACAACGATGCTGCCAAAATACAAGCACCTCACCTTTCGAGATATGCGATTCTGCTAATCCGTCAGGAACGTTTCGTTACTAAATCGCGTCCAGCATGGAGCGAACTGTTTCTAGATTGTAAAGAATGATCAATGATGTGAGAATCATCGCCACCGTCTTGCCGATGATACGCGTAACTAACACTTGCTGCTTGTAGGCCGCTGTCGTAACGTCGAACCGCGCACACGCCACACGGGCATTATGCTACAAAGATCACCAACTATGGAAGTGGTGGGACACAATTCATGACATCGAAGAGTATGATGGTGTGGCGCTATCTGGAGTGATATGTAGATACTCGTTAATCCAACGTTCGATTACTAAGTAGATAAAAAATGAGAAAGTGATCGAATCGACAAAGGATTAGATATTATTAAAATAGAATAAAGAAAAAAATGATAAAATTGAAAAGATATTATTAAAACTATCATATATATATTATTTCTTCTTTTATGATTCTAAAAATTGTTCTTTGAATAGTTATTTTTTTGAAACCAATGTTATTTTGCTTGCAATAATGTAATTAATTAATCTTGAATATAATAATCAATACTTTTTTTTGTAGAAAATTATATATTAAATCTAATTTGATCGTGATCAAATCTTGTGTTAGTTATGAAAATTTTAATTTAAAGAAAACTTATAAAATTGTATGAATAAAAAAATATAAGAATATAAGATCATGAAATATTCTAAAATATGAATATATACTATATATAATACTATACAATTATATATCCATTAATATTTGTAAATGTAAATGTAAAAAATGTAAATAGAGCATATATTATTTTTTTATAATAATTATAATAACCGGTTTCATTTTTATATTACTGAAGACAAACCAGTTTCTGATTCATGTACAAGAAAGAATATAAAATATTATAAAAACTTTAGATTAATAATCTAACATATTAATTGTATTTCTTTTAATTTTTCCATTCAGCACAGTGATAAAAATTATGTATGCGAGTGATATATAATTATATGTCCGCCAAATATATTTGAATTATATTATATATATGAAATTGTAAGTAAACATTCTTCGTTCATTCTTTTTAGATGTTAAAGAAAGATATTCCCACACGGGGAAGCAAAACTTATTTTCGTTTCAAGGTGCTCCTGGAGATTCAAGGTTTATTTATAGGGATGCTTCGATACGACTGTTTGTAATAAAAACAGAGCAAAAGCAACCGGATAAAAAAGATAACTGATAAGAATGCGGAATATGTCGACTTAAAGTTCATTGTCATGCGCATTGGCAAAACGTTATCATTCACAAAAAAAAACATAAATACCTTGCAATTATGAAGAGATGCAGTGATTTCACGGAGTACTACTCGAGTTCCTTCACGACCCGAACCATTAATGTTCCTTGGATTTGACATCCTGATATTTCACAATTTTAATACAAATTCTTTAATAATTTTATTAAATACATCCGTCGTTGTGCTTTAAATAATAGCAAATAGGATAAAAATTAAATTGAGTAATGAAATGTATTGTAAACAAGTTAATGAACACTAATAATTGTTAATATTAGCATTCACACTGCATTTTGTTCAATGTTACGAAAAAACACGAATTTTTTCGAATATATATTCACAATAAATATAAACTTTGTAGAACTCGGATTTAATATAATATTAAAACAAGAAAATGATTATCTTTCGTTGAAATTACGCGCATACATTCCACAATATCTTCACTGTTACAACGTTAAACACGCAACCGCTTTCTTAACGGCCGTCTGGCATTTGACAACTTGAATGTAAACGCATCAACCAATCACGTTGCATTATTGTGTTTCTAGAGGGAACGCTTGTGGCGCCACGTTACTTTTTTTTTTTACGGTCGATAATATCGATTTCAACATTCGATCATCGTAAGTTTAATAATTTATTATAATATATATAAATAAATAATGAATAAATTTCATATTTTTTTTGTTTGCTTTATAATAAAGATTGCATGATTAATGATCGGATTTACAAATATTTATTGTCAAATTTTTCATACAAATATGTATAAACAGCCGTGTCTCTATATGCAAGGCAGTGTAAATTGATCACGAAATTTTTAATCATATTTTAATAATTAATAGTTTTATATCTTCACTCGTGCATTCATCCCTTCGTCTGTATTTTTTATTTTTTTAATTATTAGTACTTCACAGTGTACATATACATAAAAATACATTCACCCAGCTTAATAACGCATTGTTATAATACGTTGCGTTAAAATAAAGCAAAATATATAAAAGAATACTATTCACAATGTTTTTTTATCTTAGTACTAATAAAAATAGTTATTTTTAAGGACACTTTTCGCAGACACTAATATTGTCTAGATTTATGAAGATGGTAATTATTAATTATCCTAAAATTTTAATATAATGTATTATCAAGTTTCACTGCATGAATATAATCACAGAAGATAGCCATAGGCTTTCATTGTAAGTTTACATTCCTCTATGCAAGGCACTTCTTTTAAATGTTCACAATAAAACAAATAATATTAAATAAATTCAGTATCACTATAGACATTATTATAGAAAGTGATTAACATCTTGTACTATAAGTTTTACTATTACATGATGATATATTGGGAAGCACCATATTATTTACGATAACATACAGTATACTCTGTCATTACCGTGCACTTATGCAATCCCATAGCTTAATAATACATTGTGCATCTTTACAAAAGGCAAAACTGTTTGAAGCAGTTAATGATATTTCCCGAAAAACATATATAATACATTACTATATTTAATTAAAATCATTCACCAGCAGTTAGTAAATGAAATGCTTAATCAAAGACTATGAAATATTTATAAATATTTGATTACGTATATGGATGTAACTGAGGCGGAGGACGTGACGGTGTAGTTGAATTCTTTTGACTACTAGAAGGTGGAGTTAAAAGACCGCTTTCATTTGGACTCTGTCTACCAGATTCAACATTAGAATCAGATTCATTTGTATCAGTAGAAGGTATTTCATCCACTAATCGTTGTTGTGCCTTTTCTAACATGTTTAAATCTACAACATGAGTCTGTATACGATGTGATTCATCCATTACTATATTAGGCACTGTTGCTTTAAGTCCAGATCCAGAATGAGACTCTACAGGTGTTACTGCAGACCTTAAAAGGCACTGAGAATCTTCTTCAGCAGTTGTCATTGCAAATGGAGTAAGCCATTTGACACAAGGTGCAAGCTGCTCCCATGGAATACGTGATACTCTTAAAGCACATTCTCTTCCTTGTGTATGATAAATAGCTGCTGCAGCTATGTGACTATAAGGGAATTTTAAACTTCCTTCATCTAATGTAGCTAAATCTAATAATTGAGCTGCCTGAGAATATTGTAAACCTCCATATTGTGGATAAATAAATGCATTTGGTCTTGACCAATCGCCTGATTCAATTTGCATATAAATATTCAACCAGCCAGGAGCAGTAACTGGAGATAAATTCCATCCAAGACCTTTTAAAATCACTAACTCTTTTCCCAAGATTTCTTCTTCTGTGCATGCTCCATCAGTAACATAAGCAAATTCTGCTATTTTAGGTGGATAAATTTCTTCAACCTATATATAAAAAATATAATTAATTATTAATTTAAAAATCATTTATTTATTATTTGAAAATTATAAACATTGGAATTTGAAACATACAAACCTTGGCAGCTATAAAAAGACATGTAATGCCTATTAATTGTAATTGGTTTTTGGGTACATTTTGATGAATAGATAGATATCTGTCTATGTAATCCATTGCAAGATAATAAGTCTCTCTATGTAGCTTATATACTTCACAAACTTCAATCAACCAATCTAACAAAATTGCTCGCATTCTTGGTTGTAATGTTGGGTGCCTTTGAAACATTTGTGGATTCCTTTGAGTAATAGTCTTTTGATCTCCCAAACACATAAGAGACCAAACTTGAGAACCATCAGCCCAAGGAAATGATGGTAAAGGACTTGGTCTATTTGATGTATTATTAGAAGAAGATGGTGTTAAAAAGCATGTTGAAGTTCTTAATTCAGACCATGTAGCTGGCTCTTGTTGTTCTTTCAATGGAGATACTTGATGTTGTGTACATGAATTTTCTAAAGGATGTACTGTATGACAAGACTCTGTATATGATACATGTGATAATGCTGGTATTTTACTCGGTGGATATACATTTTCTGAATCTTCAGAAATATCTGTTGCCCTTCTTTTACGCTTTGAAGACTGTGTTATTAGTTTGCCACCTTGTAAATAGGTCTGTGATTTTTTCCCATGTAAACTGGACAAAATTGAATAAAAGAAAAAAATTATTTTATATTGAGATTATTATAATAATATTAAATGCTTTTTTGTAATAAACAAAAAAATTCCATATCTTTATAAAGCAAGTGAAAATATTTTTGGAAAGTAACAGAGAATTACGTCTTAATTAACGTCTAATATTTTTTTAAAGTTATGTACATTGCATAGATATATCATAATTTATTGTACATGTTTACAAAGAACTTAGGAAATCATAAAATAAAAATTCATGTATATATTATTTATATAACATTATTAAGGCTTCTAAATGGTAAGTACTAAGTAAAGAAGGTTATACATACATAATTCTCAATTTTTTTTTTTAATTAGAAAGTCTAAAAAATTATTTGGATTAATTAAATCTATTTTAAATAAATTTTATATGTTTGTGATGAAATATTGAAAGAATTGAATGAAATTTTAAGACCAAATAGAAAGTTGTTCGCTCACCTCGTCTGTGGCATTTTGCTCTGAAATTGTCGACGTGTTCAAAAAATATTTCGAACGGGAATGAATCTTTTTAATATGAACACAAATTGATCAATATTTTATTTAAGCATTCACTTAATTATTTTAATATATGCTGAATAATTTTGCTAAGAAAATGCCGAAAAGTAAAAGAGCGCGCAAAGCTCACACGCACCCGATCGCCATAATGCACGTATACTTGGCTTCGTTTGATTCAATATTTTATGTCATAACTTTTTATTTATAAAATGTTTTGTAATACGAAAAGTCTTTAAAGTCTTTTCTGATAGAATTTCAAGCCTCGAGATATCACAGAACAATAATTCTTCAAAAAAATACGGGACGTGGAACTCGAAGCGCGGGAGACCAGCGCGCGAAACGATGACCAACCCCTGCTTGCAATCTGCCACTGTCACGCCCTCTATATGTATAACATAACCTCAAAGGGGCAAAAAAATTCTAAATTTTTAACTGAATAGCTTCTTCGAAGTTCTATCATTTAATTCCAACACATAAATATCATTACTTTTATATATATACATTGAATTTAAACACTACACAATCGTGGTGCAACGTTGGCGTCCTTTGACAGACGCCTTATACTTATTATGTTTTTACAAAGTAAAATATTATAAAAAATTACACAAATCACAATTCATTAACCGGGGGAAGTATATTTTATTCGAATAACGCGATACATTCGTACTAAAACACTAAATATTACATATAGTTGATACATAAATCCAAGGAATCACAGCACCCACGCGTTCTGCGCAACTACGTTTCCCGCTCGATTTTAACACAACTTTTTCAAAGAATATTAAAAAATATTATTACACTTAAACACATTGTATGTAATTAAACTACAATAGTTTTGTAATCATGTAAAAACAACTATATACATATAAAATAATACTTTTAAATTGCGAACTGAAGTTCACGAATTACTTTCGCGGGAACGCCAAACCTGCAGGCACCGGTCATGTATTTGTGGCGCTGCTGTGCATTAGTATAAGCGTTTTCTATTGGTCGCAGCGAAGAGCACAGCTGGCGCTCAGCTGATCTACCGTACACACACACATGTATCTAAGCATGCATCCACTTACGCCCTGACCACGCGGGAAATATACGCGCGTAAATTGCTTCTTCTTTGAATGTAAGTTATAATTGTAAAATATAGAAATAATAAGACAAAATTTTTTGTTATAGTTCTTTAGATATTATGAATTAATAATGTTTATAATGTTTCTTTAAAAATATAAATTGTTTATTTAATTATATTAAAGATATTTATATTTTAAAATAAAATATTTTGTTGTTTATTAAAATAATATATCTCTAATCATTCATATATTATTAATATCAATCTGAGTCGAAAAAATTAATAAAAAATTAATTCTCTTAATGTAATCACAGATAAAATATAATGTAGATTTAACATCTTGTAGAATTTAGTATTTTATGAACTGAAATACTGATCTTATAAAATCAATGGTTGTTTTGCGCCCTCTGTAATTTAGAATGACTATATTAGGCACTATATTTTGTCAGAGATGAAATATAAGATAGATTTATCACCCTATGAAATTTTATATTCCATATTCTAATATACCGATCGTACAAAAAATTAAAAATTTTATAACTTTTATATACAGTATAGATTTTTAAAAATTAATAAATGCAAAAAAATTCTTGTTTTTTATAATGCAGTTTAATATAAATATTAAAATTATACGTACTAAATAATACATATTAATTTTAACAAATAATAAATTTAAAACTAAATTCTGCATTATCCAATAATAAAGTTTAAAATTAATAATTTGTATAAACAAGATTCAGGATAAATCTAACATCTAATATAATTTTCAGTATTTTAATTTTAAAATTATTTTCTTTACTATTTTAATTTCTTTTATCATTTTCAATATTATCAATTTATTAGAGAATAATATTAGATTTATATAAAAATAAAATTAAATTGGAATTGAGATTAAAAAAAAATTAATTGAACGTTACATTCTATATATATATATAGTTTGTATGATTGTAAAATATATCAGTAACATAATTGTATTACAATCATATTTTTAACATAGCCAGCATTTAGCAACAAAAGTATTTTTAATTTTTCGCTAAATTTTACGATTTCATTAGATTTTTGAACGAATATAACTATAGAATTATAAATATGATAAAAATGCAAAGTGATATTTAGTGATTATAGATAGAATTCTTGATACGTTAAAATGATGCATGCTGTAGAGCGGGTTGCAGAATTTGAGGAGCAGAAAAATCAAACAATATTCAAAGATTTAAATTATATTCAATCATTAATTATATAAATATTTTATTATTAATGAATTACAAATTTTAATTCTTTATCTTTCGTGATAGGTTAAATATTTAAATATTGATTTGATTTGAATTATAAACTCAAGAAGTTATGATTGCATGATATTTTTCAATAATTAATAAAAATTGTAATTTTTGTTACAAATTTTAAAATTAGATACAAATGTATGTATAATTGTTAGATTGTTGTTACAATTTTATATTTAAAAATTAAATATTTTTTTTAACATATAGAAGACCTAATGAAATTATTAATTTTTTGCACAATCGGTATTTCAGAACATAAGATGCAAAGTCTCGTAAGATGATAAATTTATTCTTGTTGTAAAAATAATAAACATGGAAAAATGATAATTATCATGTCGCTCTTTTTTATCAACTGATCATTATAGTTTCCTAATAATAACTCACATATGGCGCTTTATTCACTTGTATAACTTAAGCACTAGTTAGCTATCTATCTTAAACATTTGTAATGCTATTTTTATATTTTTTATATATATGTATTTATTATTTATATTTTATATTATACATATGCTTTAAATATATTCAAATTTAATATATTTAAAGTATATTTTATATTATTATTAAAAGTTATAGCAATATATTTTTTTAACATTTATCACATACATAATTAATATGATTTCATTACTATGCAATGTTTTTAATAGATATAACTATATATTTTTAAAGTAAGATAAAATTTAAAATAATATTCTATTATTGAATATATACTTTCTTTAATATTATTCTTTTTTCAAATATATATGTATATATTTGATCATGGGTTCCATATTCTTAAAATCCGATACTGTGCTTGATAGAGAATGTTGATAATCAGTTGGCAATCCTCGGTGATAATATTACCGTAGCATGGGGTACTTGATCGAGGTAGACAGCCCTGGTTTTCTGGAAGTCGTCAGTGGGGCCATTAAACGCGTTATATGTGTATTGCAATTTGATCCCGTAGTGCTTGATCGGAGAGTAATTTACGCGAATTCCTGGGCATCCGGGTCTCTGCAGGTGGGCCATCAGGGTTTCTTTTCACGTCTGATGTGTTCAGTGTCGCAGCAATTGCTTCACTGTTTCTTTGCTCGTGTAACATTTAAGACTTGTCATATTTACTAATATTATTTCGTTGACTTTAGCTACGTATGTAATTAAAATTTTCTATATTATTAATTTATTTTTTTTCTTTCTATAATTATTTAATTTTCAATTCCAATATTGAATTAAAATTTTCATTGATACTTTATTTGCAATTGTAATTTGCAATTATTTTTTTTAATTAAAGTTTTTTTATTATTCAATTTATGCAATCAGAATTAGTAATAAATAATAACATTTGTAGGACGTAAATGTACGTGAATTTTTGAAAGGTGATGCAGGGCATAATGCCAGTTAAAACAAAATCTCGTGTTTCTGAAAATATGGGTATCACAGGTGGATTGGTAGATGCCAGAGACAAACAAGTATTAAAGGAAGCAGTGGAAGCAGTTGTTAACAGCTTTGCTAAACATACTCAAGGCTATGGAAGAGGTATAAATATCTATATTTTCTTTTAATTAATATTAAATTTTACATATATATATTATTTTATTTATTATAGTAAATGTAGTTGAAGCTTTGCAAGAATTTTGGCAAATGAAACAAAGCAGAGGAACAGAGTTAAGAAATGGAGCATTAGTTATTTATGAATCTGTGCCTGGTACTAGTCCACCTTATGTATGTTATGTAACTCTTCCTGGAGGTTCTTGTTTTGGTAGTTTTCAAAATTGCCCAACTAAAGCAGAGGCTCGTAGATCAGCAGCAAAAATTGCTTTAATGAATTCTGTTTTCAATGAACATCCAGCTCGTAAAATAACTGATGATTTCATAGAAAAAGCTGTTGCAGAAGCAAGAGCTAGCTTTGCTAAACCTTCTGCAACTTCTAATGGTGTTGGTAATCAAGCACAGGTATGTTCTGAATATTTATTATTATGAGAATTAAAATATTGCATTAAATTATTCAATTTTTAGGGAAATGGAGATGAAAAAGAAGATCCAAATACAGGTATAGGTGCATTTCGTTTTATGTTGGAATGTAATCGTGGAAGAACGATGCTAGAATTTCAAGAATTAATGACAGTCTTTCAATTACTTCATTGGAATGGATCTTTGAAAGCAATGAGAGAAAGGCAATGTAGCAGACAAGAAGTAGTTGCTCATTATAGCCATCGGGCTTTAGATGATGATATGCGTAGCCAAATGGCATTAGATTGGGTAGCAAGAGAACATGAAAGCGGTGGCGGAGTTGTTGCTATGGAATTGGCATTAGCTGAAAGAGAACTTGAAGCAGCACGTTTAGCTGGAAGAGAACTTAGATTTCCTAAAGAAAAAAAAGATATATTAATGCTTGCACATGCTCAAGTATGTCCTCAGTGATTTTCAATACAATTGTGCAATTAATACATAAAAAGAACCAGTTTTATAAAAACTGGTATTAGGGGAATGTGTTTTTTAATGACATATAATGTCACTATATTGTGAAATATTTTATTGTTGTTTAACAGTAAGATACGTAATTAATTCCGTCCTTTTTATGAAGTATTTTTGGTGATAATAGAATAATAATAAAATTATAAACTTAATTTTTAAGAATGCTTTAAGCGCGTGACTGCCATTATAAACTGCGATATATACAGGATAGATCATTTGAGTCAAAATTAATTATTAATTGTATATTATATAAGTATATTTTGGTACAAAATCTTGTCTTCCATGATTTCATGTAGTTTTTCCTATAATTATAGCATTATTTTTAGCATATTGCGAGAATGCTTGGTGATATATTGCTTGCCTGATGAATAATATATAAGTGATATGATTGATTTTTCATCAATACATTTATGTTCATCATTTATATGAAATCATTATTCTATGTTATATATTTACATAATATTTACAAAACATGGACACATTTGCTGTACTTAAAGTTATATACATGATATAAATTGTTTTAAAAATATTTTATTACTATTTTTAAATATTGATAAATACATGTTTTAATAAAATTTCATAATTTTAAGTATATTTTATTTAATCCTAATTAAGGTTGAGTGGAAATTTCAAGAACAGCTTTAGGCATTTTGCTATTTGGTTCATCCTCTTGCATTGGATGTGATAGTACTTTGTCTATAATTCCAAATTCCTTTGCTTCTTTAGGACTCATGAAATTATCCCTTTCCATACATCGTTCTGTAAATTTATAATGTATTATAAAGATTTGTGTAATATGTTTTTACAAATTAACATACCTATTTTTTCCAGATCTAAACCTGTATGTTTTACATATAAATTATTAATTTGCTTTTTAAGCTTTAATATTTCTAGAGCTTGTATCTGTATATCAGTAGCTTGACCAGATACACCTCCTGATGGCTGATGTGTCATAATTCTTGCATTAGGCAATGAATGGCGCATACCCTTTGTTCCTGCTGCCAGTAATAAACTTGCCATTGAGCATGCTTGTCCTACACACCATGTTGCAACAGGAGGTAGAACATATTGCATAGTATCATATATACCAAGTCCAGCTGTGACACTTCCACCAGGTGAGTTAATATACATATGAATTGGATTTTTACTATTTTCTGATTGAAGAAATAGAAGTTGAGCTATCACTACTGAAGATACATTATCTGTGATCTGTAAAATTTTTTATTTTTTAACTTGAAAATTAATGATAAATTAAAAATTCTAAAATTAAATCTAGAATTAATTATAATATTAAATTAAAGAAAAAATATATTAAGCTGTACCGGGCCCATTAAACAAATAATTCTTTCTTTTAAAAGACGCGAGTAAATGTCATATGCACGTTCTCCTCTTCCACTTTGTTCTACAACAACAGGTATAAAATTTAGATATCGCTTGCTTACTTTTTGACCAGGAACCTATAAATTTAATGATATTAATGAAATATAAAATTATAAATATAAATTAAATGTTTAAAAGTTTAAAAATAATAATGTCAAATCATGTAAATAACTATATTAAATCAAATAATTTGATATTTTGAAATACTTACAAAAATTTGTAACAGATTACTAAGTTTTCTTAACATTTTTATAATTTTACACTTATTATGATCATTAAACTTGGATATATATTGCTGCAAACAATACTTTACATAATAAACTAATGAGTAGTTTGAAAGATCTTTGTTAAGAAATTAAAGAATAAAACATAACCTAAATAAAAATTTATTGTCATAACTTATTATAATATAAAAAAAAGATTTTTCATTAATATAGTTACATCAATTGTATGATAATTGAAAAAATTAATCTAAATATTTAATTTATCGTACAATTGTTTTGAACTCTTGTAGGTTATATTTTATTTCTTTTAATTAGATTTTTTTTTACACAAAGAAATTTTTAATATATTCCATTTTTCATCTTCAACTTTCTATTCGAACAAATCAGTTAATCCAATTACAAAGAATTTTTTATGAAATGGCAGTCAAAACTAACTTGTCCTAAGTGCGACGTAAATAGGCTATTTCTTTATACAATGTGTTTTATTTATTTACATAATGGCTTTTTTTACATAGCTAAATTTATTGGTAGCATTAAAAACATTATGCTTGTAATATATAATTAAAATAATTTTCTACATATATTTAATGTAATACATATGAATAATCTGTAATGTTTTTATTATTCGCAATCATGTAAATCTGCTTTATGTAATCATAATATAAATGAAGATAGTAAAGTAATAAAAAAAGAGTAGAATAAGTAGAATAAGTAAGAAAAAAACGTAGATTTTTATCATAAAAAAGTTTTATGAGATAGAAAAGATTAATTTATAAATTTTAATTCATAATAATTTAAATCATCGTAATCTTATTTGTTTTCAACATTTAGTATTTAATAAAATTTTGTTTGAAAGTTGAGGTTATCTTTTTTTTTATTTTGATGTAAGAATTTTTCAAATTATAATATATTGTATGTAATTATATAAAAATCTATAAAATTTTAATGTATTTATACAAATATGTATTTTTTTAGAAGCAATGAATATATTTACATTATTTAGAACTACTTATCAAACTGTAGGATTTATTGCTCCAAAAGTATCATCTGTGGAATCATTCACAAGATATATAAATAATAATATACATCATACATGTAATAAACAATATTCAAATCTTTCAAGCATGAATAAAATTACATCTAAATTACTTCAGCCATTACTACCAATATATAATTTCACATGTGGTTTAAAAACAAAAACTATATTACACCGAAGATGTAGACATTGTTTATTAATGTGGAAGAATGATAGGAAATACATAATGTGTAAAGCAAAACCAAGGCATAATCAAGTGGAAAGAGTTAAAAAGGAAAAAAACACATGGATATTAACACATGCTACACAAAGTAAAATAAGAGAATGGTAAAGCATTAAAATAGATATTGTTTTTATAGAATTATAAAATTATAAATATAAAATTATAGTATAAAATAAAATGATTTAAAACGAATTTATATTTGTTTCATTTATATTTTTCAGGATTTAATAACGTTCATATATGGTTTTTTATAATAATATCATAAAACTAATATCATTTAAATTATTTGTAAATATTTATTTATAGAATTCTATTTAGCACCTATATACACTAGATGCTGAAAAAAAATTTATTATTTTTTTTTTATTTTACATTATGTTTATTGATTAAAAACTTACTATAAGGAGGACAAGTAAAAGTGCAAACATTGCGTAATGTTGTATATGGGTGATATTTATTAAAATAACATGCAAAACCTCTAGGCATTGTGGGAACAAAAGGAAGGATTGTAGAATAACAAACCTGTTGAAACATTATTTTATTTATATAGAAATTTTAGACTATTTAAATTTTTTAAACATACCATATTAGAATTACGAGGCAAAGGTTGTAAAAATAATGCAGAAGATACTGGCGATGTACAAGAGGATGAAGGTGCAGCTTGCATTTTTAATTAATATAAATTTATCTATATATATATTAATAATATTTATTTATATATTTATAAATATTTATAAATATTATGTTG